ATAACAAAATGTAATGAAAATGGAAAAGCATGGATGAAGTTTCAAATTAAATGGTCTTTTTCTTCAGGCTTACAGCAACTAACATGCTCTTGTGACTTGTTTTGTGAAAAGAAAAACTTTAGCGAAGCTTTGCCTCTCGAATAACAAAGCTGTTGCAAACTACAGTCCGCCGGCCACAAACTGGACTGAGCGCTGGGACAGCTGGGGTTCACTGCATAAAAACATAAGCCATCTGCTTATTTTCCTTGGTTTTGGGCAGACACATTGGGTCTTGTGATCATTTTCCATCCAATATCTCCCCTTTGGCTGCTTTGGGATGGAGTGAGTAAGAAGCGGGAGGAAAGAAAAGGGAAAAAAAAAAACCCTGAAGTGATCGTGTGGAATTATATGAAAGCTGAAACCTCAAGTCACATTAGGAAATCTGAAGTCCCATTTAGTGCACAGATATTGGCTGGATGGCTGCACAGGAGAACAGCTAGCAGTTAGAAGAAGGTGGAATAAGTGACAGAGAAAAGGAAGCACAATAGACTACAGACAAAGAGACATGAAAAAGAAAGAGAGAGGATTTAATAGGAAAGAAGAAGACAAAGACTGAGAAAAGTCATATGACTGATCTGCTTTTTATTAGCCATCCAAATCTTTTCCCCTAATGCACTCCCTGGAATACTGCTGACAAAGGGGGAAAATCCAGGGCAATTTGAAGTTCTAGACAACTGTTTGCACACACATACATGCAATGGGAAAAGAAAAACAGAACGATCTTAGTCTGGATGGAAAAGGCCCATAGCTTAATTATATATCTGACAGTTTGTATCATTTTTGCAGAGCTATGCAAAAACATTTGAAACCCTTAAACCTATTTCAAATGTTACGCAACCAAACCTCAGTGTACTTTAATGGGTATTTGATGTGACAGAAGAGCACAACATATTGCATATTTGCCAAAAAGAAGGAAAATCATTCATGGCTTTCTACATTTCTTTTTTTGGGGGGGATAATTCTTTTGGTTAGTTCCTGTTTTTTCTGATTCTGCTAAATATAACCTGGTGTGATCAGTAGCAGCAGAGGTCACAAAATAAATTAATCTCAATATAATTCTAGTCCTTAGAAGTTTGTCAGAAAACATTTTTGGAGAAACATTATAAAGGCCAAGAAACAGTAAAGACATTAAAAAAAACCCTCGCTGGCTGAACTTAATTGCAATTACATAAAAAAAAACAAACAAACAAAAAAAAAACAAACATCTGAATTGTTTTGTAGGGACAGTGTACATTAATTAACAATCCTGTAGATGTGCCAGAAATAGCTGGAATGCTATTTTTCATGGCTGCTCAGTGTCCAGATTCTAAATTTAGTAGAATCTGGACCCCACATGATTTTATCTTAAACATTTCTCAGGTGGGGTGCTGTGGTGGTGCAGGGGCAAAGCAGAACTATGTATGGAGGCCTTTGTCCTCGTGGCAGAAATAGCAACTTCTATTCCCAGCCTGGTGATATTTGCCTATGTTTCCCCCATTCTCATTACACCTTTTCCCTATTTTCAAATGAAAATAGGGAAAATCTTTAAAAAAATGCTCATGTGTAAGTGCAGTAATAAGCAAAATTATAATTTGGATTTTTTATAATCCAATTGCTGCATGGCACAAAAGTTCCACTAATATATTTATTGGTTTGTGTAAAATATGCATCAACAGGCATTACTGGTTTGGTTCTTAAACCACCATGACAAAGTGGTCATGGTAAATGTGTGATAATCTGTAAAGAGTAAAAACAAGATGACATTGGTTAGAAATCTTGTTCAACTAAATTGACAGGACAGAACTGGAGAGCATTAGTCACAAAAACAGCTAAGAACCTCGAGGAAAATCATTCATCAGTCTGACAACATAAAACCCATGGTGAAACATTTTAGTGACAGTGATATGGGCATGCTTTTCTGCAACTGAGACAGGAAAACTGGTTAGATGAATGGAGACAAGTCTTTTAAATTTGGGGAAGAGATGACAACAAATGCAGAACCCAAAATTGTCGGATTTGCAATAAGTTTCTCTTAACAAATGTGTGCTAATAGTACAATAAAATCCAAATAAAATAAATAAATTTATAAACATTTATAAAGAACTGTAAATTTCCAAGTTTAGAGAGGTATGCTCTTTAGAGAAAAACTTTTTTATATAAAAATAGTGATGCAAAAATTAGGCTAAAGGCGGTCAGAAAAAAAAAAATCAGGGACTTCAGAAAGGTGGCTGAACTAAAAGAATAGCAGCAGCTCTTTTGCAAAGTGGCATTAAGCACAACACTGAAGATTTTCTCCACCCAAAGCAATGTCCTCAAGCTTCATCTGCCCTGACCCACTTTCTGCACTTTACCAGCTTGTCTGAGTGACTGTATGGGAGGTCGCCTTGCTGTGTGGTTCGTTTTAATTTGTGCAGTAAGAATACCCTAATTTAGCCCTGTGCCAAGACAGAGTAGTGTCATGTCTTATTATAAGACAGTCTCAAATCACAGAGTGTGTAGATGCCACTGGAAACCTCTGAACACATACAATGTGAGTGGTACCCCCTTCCTTCCCCCATCATTCAAGTTGCACGCTGACCTCAGTTCTCAGCGGTTTTGGCTTAAGAAAAGCACCAGCTCCATTTCCAGTAAATGTCATTTCATAGTTTCTGCATTTCCACAGAGCTGAGGAGCAGCGTTTATCGTGTAGGAAGGGCTGCAATTAGACAATGTTTCTCGTAGACTGAGCGTCGACAGAGAGGGGAGATGAAAATTGTATTTTTAAAATCTCCTCTGGCAACATCTGATGCAAGGAAATGACACCATCTCAGAAAACTGTGCCACAGCTTGAAACAAAGAAACATCAAAACGGCATTAATGTTTTTCAAGACCCCTTTTAACCAAAGTTAGATTTTAATAGAAAAAAAGGATGTCATAAACTTGTCTTTGCTTTCAAGCTCTTAATCATCAATCTTGAACAATCGTTCCCCTCTCTTTATAATTCTGTTGTTAAGTTATTACTTTTAGTCACTTTCAAGTGTAATTTGACTCTCCTTTCTTTCTGCTTTGCATTGCAGAAAATATTTGTCTTTTTCTCCCTCACTCATAAATTTCTTTCTTCCTCTGCTTGCAAGGACTGAAATGGCTACCAGATGTGGGTCCAATCTGTTCTTGTTACCATGGAAACACAGGGACTGGAATAGGGTTTTTTTTTGTTGTTGTTGTTGTTTCTTAAGTCCAAGGCTTCTGGATGACTCATGGGCCCAGAGTTTTCAAGTCTCGCTGTTTCTACAGACATGGCACGCGGAGGGCGCCCTGGGTCCAACTCCGGTTCTGGCTGCCAGCTGAGATGTCACTGAACCCCTTTCCCACATGGCTCCAACTCTGACAGTTTTTGTACAAACTTCACTTGGTGTTGAACAATTGCTCTTTTGTGCTCTTTTCTCTGGCTTCAAGTCAGCCACACAAGAAATAATGTTTCTCTCCGCATGCTGCTATCAAAATCATTTTTATGGAACTCTTACTATAATAATTAAGAAAAGGACAATCAAAACTTTAGTAACAGAGTTATCCGAAAAGCTATGAATGTACAAATGTACATGCAAACATTAAGATCCGCTGCTTTTCCCACAACATGTCAGGGATGAAAAGCTAGAGAACATGTGTCGGTATCCTCAGCTGAGAATCTCCTCCATCTGCTCGTTCTCAGCTCGCAGATGGAGGCAGTTGTGTCAACATTCCTCTCTATTCTGGCAGTAAATCTGACTTCAAGATGTTGTCACATGAAATATTGGTCTGTGTGAGGGAAAAAGGGTGGAGGATAGATCCAGTAAAAGACCTGGCTGACAAGGCTTACAAGAATTTAAAACTCAACTTTGTGAAAGTTAAGACCAGGTTCAAAGTGGATCTAAGAAGAATGAGCCAAAATGGCTTTCCTAAGACAACAGCAAATTGAACAACCTGGTGAAGCTGTATGTATTTGAATTACATGCTAATAAAATCACACTAGTAGTTAGGAATTAATTAAAGTGCCAAATTTTAAAATTTTATGTATTTTTTATGTTTTCTGTTCTGAAGCATAGCTTGTCGTGTTAGCTTGTTTTACTGTTGCGAGCAGATTTCCTCTACAAAGAGGGAGAAAGAAAAAGCTGTATGGAGAGCTGAAGGAAAGAGAACATAAAATGACAGAAGTCTAAATGCTATTCTACTGGAAAAATCGAGTCATACAAAGCATTGACAAAAATCATGGTAATAGGAGTGTCACCTTTTCTTTTGTTAAGAGCATTTACTTCCTAACATTTTTTTTTCTGTTCAGGATTATGCTTGTCATTTAGAAAACTGATTTATCTCAAGGTTTTGCCACTTATTATAAAGAGAGTCAATAAAGATGTGGTAGTGTGGGTAAATCTTAAGTTGCAGATTTGAATGCACTGCATAACAAAAACACTCCCACTTCTTCCAATTAATCATTCATCCATCCATTCATTCATCCATCCATCCAACCAACCATCCAACCAACCAACCAACCAGTCATACCTTAAGATCAGTTTTTGCTCTATCAGCTCCAAAATAAACCATATACCCAGCACATGGTTAAGTTCTTAGAACAGAGTTTCCACTGTTTTAAAACCCATGAAAGGAGCTCTTGTCTCCCTTCCTTGAGAAGCCAATCAACAGTCTCCTGGTTTCTTGTGGCCCTTTGAAGAACTGCTCTGACTGAATGCCTCAGGGCTTCTACCATGTCCCTGAGACTCAGCAGTCCAAATCCAGAGAGGCAGGAAAGGGTCATATATCATCAGTCAATGACTTGTTCTGTATTGTTCTGCATTTCTATATATATGTATGTACATTGTCAGCTTTACTCTAAAGTCACGGACTTGGAGAAAAAAATTCAATATGAGTACATGACCCCCGTCAGATCAAATATGTCACAAATAATGATGTTGTTTCTGTAAAAAGAAATTAAACTAAAGTTAAAGAGAGTATTGTTTTTCCAGTCATGGTTTCCACTTTGGCTACACATATTGCTTTTTTTATTCAAAAGAACTAAATGAACACACAGAGTTTAACAGCCATACGCTAAAAGTCAATCAAAGTTGCAGTTAAACAAATAAACAACACAAATAAAACAAAATATATCTTACAGCTGGCGACAGTTTTGCAGTTTCTTTAGGCCCTTCTTTACAAAAATGCATTGTAAGGCAATGAAACCAGGCAAAGGCCAATCAAGCAAATGACTGCAACTTAATAGTTACACAGTACTATGTTTCTAAGCATATGCACTTGTTACAACAGTGGTATTATGGTAGTATCGTACAATACTCTTTTGTATAAGATTTGCTTACGGGAAGCTGCAACAACAAATGGAGAAAGCAGAAAGGTTACACATTTCCTCTGCAGCTATAATGCCATATAATTACACTCTGCGTCATGCAGTTAAGTGTTACACAAACAATAACATCAACAGAGAACAATTACAAAGCCAATGTAAACTTTAGAGAAGGAACGTACTCTTTCTGCAGATTTGATTAACAGCCAAAAAAAGCAACAGAGCAAAACCAAAAAAAGCTGATACAGTATGAAAGCCAGTTCATTCACACCAAAGAAAACAAAGGAACCCACACGGTCATATAAGCACAGCTTACAAAGATAATAAAAAAGTACACAATGTATACAAGTAAAACGTTGAAAAAAATAAAGAAATGGCTTGTACCTTGATGAAAAAAGATAGAAACATTTTGTTAATGTAATATTCTTCATCTCAAAAAACATGCCTAAAGCAGATTATCATCATTTCCTATGCCATTAGTTGTTCATGTAGTTCAAGTTGTAAAAGCTGCTACCTGAAAACTTTATTGTTAGTATTCCACAAAAATACTTTCATGGATGTGAAGTTATGGAGTCCGCACTTGAAGTAAAATCAAGTTGCAAAATCCTTTGGCAGATATGACTTTGGTTTTACACACAAGATAACGTACCATTTAAGTTTTTGTCAAAAGCAAGAACATTCAAACATCCTCCTAAATTTAGCATAAATCTGCTGGTATTATTTAATTCTTGGAAAGCTATTTTTGTCACAAAATTTGTCTTACTGACATCTATTCAAAATAAGAATTTGACAGTGACCTGATTTTCTAGTAACAGAATGTTGAACAAAACTTTGTTTTGGTTCTCTTTTTTAGCTTAGTGGTCCAAATACACTAAGAACATTCTCTTTAATCTTAGCAAAATCCTTTCATATAAATCAACATCTGACATCTGACAAAGCTGGCCAAGTGATGCTGATTAAGTTTCACATGGAAAAAAAGCTTAGTTAGGCTGAATTTATTAATGAAGAATTAAAATGTTCTTATTTCCATTTGTGCACTTTTAACCATTGAATGAGTGATGGTTGATCAGAGTTTTTTGGGGTTTTTTTTGTATTTTTAATTGAGATAGTCATAGAAATACTCAGATTCATTAGACTAATTACAAATTTAAAATATAATACCAAGAGTAGACTGCAAAGAAACTCTTTAAGGCTGGAATGATCTTGAAAATCTTTGGTATAGAGCTTACTGCTGCATGTTGCTTTAAGCAAGTTAGAATAGAAAAATGTTAGCTTCTAGTCATCAAACTACCAATTACTCACTGTCACTGTCTGTGCATTACATGCTAATAGCTATTTTTCTGGCCCTTGTTCTTTTAAATTCCACCAGTACAACTCATAAAGCAATGAAATAAGTTTTGAACAGGTCAACATTTTTCTCAGTAAATGTATTTGTGATGGGGCTATTGACATGAAATTCACATCAACTCAGCAACAACAAAAGTATTACACATATAAACAAACAAAGTACTAAGTCTTACAAAGAAATAAATCTAAAAATGAAAGTGTGTAATAAAAACTTCAAATATAAGAACAAAAAAAGCCACACAAAGACATAGAATACCATGAAAATAGCTGAAGTCTCTTTGTAGCAATAAATCCTGCCCTCATCAGTGCCAGTTAACATTAGTTGGCTTAGTCCTAGTTAATGGCCTTTAAAAGGATTTCTTATTATCAAGGTATCATAGAAGAAGCACGTCATAATTAGAAGAAGCTCTCTCAGGACCTTCAGATCCTAATTCTGAGAGAATTAGTCACATACATGATTCTAATTGTTTTAATGTCTCAGTTAGAGCCATTGGGATCATCATTCAAAATTGGAAAGAACACCATAAACCAGCCATTGCAAGATTTCTGATAGAGGAGTCAAAAGAATAATCAGCAAAGTTCTCTAAGAGCCAATAATTAGTCACAGAAAGCTTCAGAAAGAAATTAGCAGGTACATTCCTTTTTATGAAGTAATGCACTCATCCCATGTGGCCTCAATGCACACTCACTTTACAAAACGTCATTGCAGAGGAAAAAGCATATTGATGCGTGTTTCCTGCAGAACATTTGGACAAGCCAATCAAATTTTGGGAGAGTGTAGTCTGGTCAAATGAGACCAAAAGGAATTACTTTTAATGTTATTGTACACTCCAAGTCTGGAGCATTAATGGCACTGCATATCACCCCCAAAACATCATGCAAACAATGAACCCCAATGTAGCACTCCACCACAAAGCTTTCTATTTGGGAGTGATGGCATCATGGTGTAGGGCTCCACCACAGCAATGTCACTGGTAAATTTCACATAATCAATGGAAGACTGAATAGAAAATGTACTAGAACAATACTGGTAGTAATCTGAAGATGAAACAGGGTTGATTGTTTTAACAAGACAATGATCATAAACACATTGTCAGTGAAACTGTTTCCAAGATAGTAAGTAAAATTGTTGGAATGACCTGTTCAGTGACCTGATATGAATCCATTTCAAACTTTACCCCCCTACTGAAAACAGTTTGTGTGGATGCATGGATCAAAGTTAAATTTGACCAATGCATGAGAGTACTTTTTCCATACTGGAGGCATCTTGAAATACTCTTGAAGACATTTCAGTAAGCACATTTAAAACCTATTCCCTGTGCCATTCTACTTCATTACACTTGATGCATCGACTGACTTGTGTGGATTACATTAGTTGTTGCAGACAACACATTTCATATCAAAAGCCTCATTAGAAGTGAATCTACAAAACAAAAAGAATGTTGATGTAATCAATACTCATTTTACATGCAGTAGATAAATATAAATGTGGGCTCATGGCCCAGCAGCTGAGATGAATGAACTTTTAGATAATGTCCCTGTTTACTGCATAGTATTCAGCTCTATTCAAAGTTGTGTTGCGACATGAATACATACACTTGAAAGTTAACAATGCTGTTACGGTTATCATAAAACACCCTCCTGGTGTAATTTTGTTGTGCCTTTTATGTCAAAGAGGTTGTTACTTCTGAATGCTCCTGGAGGCACTGCCCTCAAGCTGTTCATTGATTAAAAAGCTATGTTGCTGCTAGCTTTAAACAAACTGTTCAGTCTTTTAGAAAATAATTGGAAACTGCTCAGAATTTTTCCAAATACTTATTTCACTACCTGTGGTGGCATTATGGCTGTTTTTTGCTGGGGTGTTTTACTTTCAGGTGTATCAAGGGTACCACCTTTGCCTTTCTTCCTAGGTGGCTTTTTTATGGGAGTCTTCTTCGGTGTAGGGTCCAGCAGGTCCCCCGTCCTGGAGCCGTTCAAGTCCTGCTTCTCCGGGCTCTTGGCTTCGGGGGTCCCAAAGTTGTTGGTGATAGGTGCCACCATTTTCTGAAGATTGCTTGTGGTAGGCAGCAGAGGCTTGGTGGAGCCCTGCTGACTAAGTCCACTGGAGTTGGTTCTCTTGGCTTTCTGTGGAGGTGTGGGCTTCTCCTGGTTATTCTTTGGTAGGGAGAGACCATTGGTCTTTGTCAGTCCAGTCCCCTCGTTCCTGTTGATGCTCTGAGTTTTCTCTTTGAGCTGTGCGGCCAGTAAAGAGGCCGCTTCAGAATTCATATGAGGGTGGATGACCTTCGGGCTCTTTGGTGGCTCTTTAGGACTCTGCTTTGGATTTTCAACAATCTTCTTCTCAGGTGATGAGCTACGGAAACTGCTTATCATTTTTAGGGCATTTTGGACAACACCGTTGATGTGCTCCATGTGACTTGGACTGCTGTGCTCATCTCCAGACTTTTTACCTTGTAGCAGTTTGTGTTTGCTAGGCGATCCATTTGCATTAGTATCATTTCCATCCAGTTTCTTCTGTTGGCTCCGACTCTTTTCTTTTATTTTATGACGCTCTTCATTCTTTGATGAGCCGTTGCTAGTGCTCCTCTTTTTCTCCTTTGACACTGCAAATGGCCTATTCCCCCCTTGTTGCTCTGGTTGTTGAGACCCTGTTGTCTTTCCATGAATCCATGACACTTTGGGTTTAGTAGATGGATCTGGTGGCCGTGGTTTGGGCTTGCCAGGTGAAGGAGGAGGTTTCCCATTGCCCTTGGCTTCTGATGTAAGGTTACCATCACCATCTTTGCCACTGCAATCATCCTCCTTTGACTGTTTGGAGAGGCGGGCGATGCAGGCATATTGGGCAGCAGACTCAGACCCACTATTTGAAATTTCACTGTCAGAGCACTTGAGTATAGACTGCTCATTGCTTTCCGGTTTGGTGACACTCGTGTCTTTTAGTGAAGTGTACTCTCCTGCATCCTCTTTGTATGTGTCATCCTCTGAGATTTCGTCCACAGGGTTGGGGCTCTGCTTCCCTTTGCTGTCACTCGTGGATTCTGTTGATTGTTGGCAGAAGATTAGTAAGAGATACAGTAAGTTTAACTCACTTTTAGATTTAAGGAACACAACCTCAGGTGGTCAACTATGCACACTAGGCCATAGCAATTAAGAAGGCCAAATAATAAAATAAACTCCAAGGTACTCAAAAAGCTATATGAGTGTTAGTTTTAGGGGATGTAACAAATCGCCTGGCACAAGATCTGATAATAAAACATTATATTTCTCTGTCATTTCTGACTTGCTCAATACTTTACATTTGTTTTGAAAGCAAAGTATAATTTATGTAATCGAGTCTAAGCAATTGTTATTAGCCTTATATACAGAGTGTGTTACAAGAATGGCACACTGCAAACAGAAGTGGATTCTCGGTGCCGTGTACAACTCCAGAACAACCCCATGAGAATCTATACACCTCATGTTTCTTATATAGTTGGTATCTTTAGGGTTTTCTACAAATTTGTTGAAATCTTGTTTTTTATTTTCTTTGTGAATCCAATATGTCTTGTTTCGTGAGCTGATGAGCTCAACAAACTTATGTAAAAAAAAACAAGTGATTTACATACTCTAAATAAAGACATAACTGACAAACTCTGACTGGTTGAAAACATTTATAAGTGCATCTTTGACATAGTATTTCTCTCATTATAATGGCATTTGGTAAATAGAACTGTGTTTGGTAATTCTAACAGATATGAAACAACATGTTTTTATTCACATAATCTTAAGACTGTGAGAAAAAAGTATATGTAAATACACAATTCTGCTCTTCTAATCTCACATCACAGCACATAAACTGTGCTTCACTGTATGGGAGAAAGCCTGGGCTTCCTCCCATTGACTTGAATTGCTCTGGTAAAAAAAATAACTGGGCCAATCAGTAAACAGAAGAACATAAATTTTCTGTTCTGTTTTAGAACTGTAGTCTGCCTGTAGTTTTAATAATGGCAGTGGAGGAAGTAGTTCAGTCTGTGCTAAACACACTTCCAAATTTTGAATTTATATCAACATCAATAAAGTTTATTCTATTCTACTCTATTATCAGATATCTCATTCTTTTCAACAATTCCCTCTTTGCACTGGGGGGTGGTTGTTTACACAGCAGGCAATTTCTGAGAAGCATCATTTTTATGACTGATTTGATTTATAATGTCAAATTTGAGTTGGACTGATATCTTGAGTGATGATGGTTTCAAATAGTTGTTTTAATTTTCTGAGAACTAATATCTGTCATAGATCAGAAAATTCCTTCAAACCAAGACTAAGTTCCAGTTTAAAACTTTGAAAATAGAAACTAATAGAACTGGTGTTTTCCATCAAACTTCAACTCATATGCTGACTAAACCATTCCATTTCCTGTTTATACTTAACTCACTCTCTAGAGAAAACCTGGGTCTAGATGGCCTATGATTAGAAGCAAACTATCTTCATAATGAGAAATACAGAAGTGTGTGAGTCACGGGTGACACATGGGAGTTGGCCTCTTTAGACTGTATTTAGCTGTGTGTTTGCGTGTGCGTGTTTCGACCTCCTATGCAAAAGACAATCTGTAAATTTGACATGGTCATTCCAGATAACCAACTGTTTATTTGCTTATGTGATAACCGACCTTCATGCGGAACACAATAAACGGGCCCTTCATCTCCGCTCTCAAAGGAAGAGAAGGACTCCTGGGAGGACCATGAGGAGGGGGAGGGCTGCTCGGCGACTGAGGGCGGCTCAATGAAGCTGCAGTTAAAGGTGTTCTCTGGGTCGTGGTGTGCTACTGAGAAGAGAAAACAAATGCAGAAGCCAAGAGGTCATTCAAGAGTTTTGTTCTCTGTTACAAGAGTAACAATCTGTTCCTGCTCTGTGTCAATGAAGTAAGAGGAAAATGGGTTTTAGTTAGCTGTGTGGAAAAGACATTCAGGACTATATCATTCTGAATCACTTTAAACCTTAGCATTAGTTTTTTTTTTTTTGTCGTTTTTTTATCAAGGCATGTGCCAAAAGTACTGATACATGCATTTAATTTCAATAGGTTAGAATATTTCAAAGATGTCTTCAATAGTCTGTAAAACATCAATTAGCCAGCTGAATCCCAAAGTCCTGAGCAACATCAGGAAGATTGATCAGCACATCACACCAGAATCCCTGCAGTAGCTCTGATTTGTAAAGGTATGCATTTTAAAATCCTGTTAGGCACCAAATAATGTTGGGGTTATGTGAGTTTTAGTGTTGCATACGAGCCATCTATACGACTCAGGTCACATGAGACCTTTTCACACATTAGTATCAGGGCCAGAACCAAATAAATGGACACATCTTTTATTATTCTCCTCAGCTCTAGAACAAACTTCTTGAAAAGTGGAGATTTGCAAAAAAAAACCTAAACAAAAAAAAGAAAACATTACATTTAAAGTAATAAAGGTCAAAGAGAGATTTTCTCTGGTATTTTCAAAATGTCTCTGCAATTCTTTTGTTTGAAATTTGCATTTAATGCTTATCTACTTGAACTTTATCTACTATTATTGCTTTAATGTTATTTTTCTTGATGTGGTCTTCACCTATAGTCATTCATTTTTCTGTAAAGTGCATTGAATTATGTACATTAATAATGATTACAATTTTAAAAACAGTCTGTCTAATTTTACTTAAGGGTTTTAAAACTAATGTTATTTCATTTCTGTTGTCCATGCCCTATTAAAGAATTTAAACTAACAACTGATGTTGCTGTAAGTTTGAGAGCTGCATTTTAAGATTGTTCTGTTTTAAACTATTCTCCTCTTTGTTTAAAAGCAATGTAAGCCTTCTTCCAATGAATCTTTTTCTCAGTCTCAATGTAGGTCAAATCCTGTTTCCCTCTCCATGCCTCCCAGCCCCCATCAGTCACCACAGCATTCAGCTGACCCTTCATTCTCAGGACAGCTGTGGTCTCTAACGCATACTTGGAGTCAGTCTTCCCATCTGGTGTGAACAGTTCAGTACAGACTAAAGCTGCTTTCCCCGTTAACTTAACATGAGCAACCACATCAGATGCTCCAGTTTACATACCCGATGACACATGGGCCCATCCATTTGTTTAAGCTTCAGATAAACTGACTGCAGACAGATTTACAAGACTTTACAACAAGTTTGTTCAGGGATGAATTTTTGCAGTTGAAGAGTTTGTTTTTTTTTTTTCCCCCAACTTTAGTGGTCTTTATTTGATAGTGTTTGGACAGGAAAGCAGGTTTCAAGAGAAGGGGAGAACATGAGGGCTGCATCGAGGACAAGGCCTCTGACTATGGGTCACTTCTGCAGTTCATGTGTTTTGATTAGGGAAAAAGTAACAAACACAGTGCTTCTACAAATCATTTTAGAGTTATATAAATCCAGAGGAGATCTTTTGCCTCTCAGTTATGATAATTTACATATATGTTTCACGAAAGTTCACACAACTTTAATATATCATTTTGTTTCCTCATCACTGACAAGCACATTTTCTAAATTGGTAAGAAAAGTTTATGGAAAGACACCAAGATCAATTTAAATAATCTTAAAATGAGGATTGAAACATGGGTGGAAGAAGACCTCATTAACTTGTTGGTACTGAATCAAGATAGTTTAAAATAAATTGTGCACTGCTCTTGCCAAAATATGTGCTTTCCAAGAGCCTTTCACTTGAAAGCTTCTTCTAGTTGGAAAATCTTAATCTTATCAACAATAAGAGTTAATAAAGACGAACTCTAAAAATCACTTTTCTCTCCATATTTTTTTTTCTACCAAATTGTGTTTTAAACCTCTGAATTGAATCTCAGAAGTGCATCTCTACTTTTTTCTGTGTTCACAAGAGAATGATTGGGGCATTTAATTTGCAACACGCCACTTTCTTCTACTTTGGAGTAAAAATGTCAGAGGAAAGTTTCTCTAAACCACTAAATGTTACTTACAAAATATTATTAGAAGAAAATAGCTTCTCCCAAGTTTAAAGCAAAGTTTAGTAACAAGCTGTTATAGATTATGGAAGAAAAATAACCAGTTATGTAATAAGGCTTTTTATAAACTCCGTTATCAAGAATGCTGAATGAATAATCAAGAAGAAAAATATTGACGAAGACAGGAAGAGTGTCCTGTTTCTATTGTAAGATTAGCAATATGGAGTCAGAGACACACAGTCACTGAGGAATGCAGAGTAGCTAACTTATGCAAAAACCTCAGCAATGCTAATAAACAAGAAAACACATGCATTATTAGATGTATGCAATGCAGGACAACAGCCTCTGAAAGCTCTCTCTTGAAACCAGAGGTTTAGTTCGGAACATTGCCTTGAAGATTCATCGCCACAATGATCCCTCCCTGCATGAAGGCCTGCACACAACAGCGCATTATTGACCTATCACAGCTGCACAGCACCAACACCGCAGCTGCTCTGTGGGGCTGAGGTTGTCAGGAAACAAGAACGGTGGAATACAGAAAGAAAATTACTTGAAACTTGACGAAGTTCTCCGGTGATTACGATGTGACAGCAGTTACGGAAATAAATATGTCTTAGCCTTTAATGTTTAGTTTTAAAAAAATGCAGTTTAAAACAAAATACACTTAATGAGATCCAGTATGTCTTTAGGAAGAAAACCTTGGATCACACCATTTCAAACTATTCAGCTTTATAGGGTGAGAACACTCCTGTCACACACACACAGACACACGCACACACATAATTACATAGGCAACAGTTCCACTCTGACCTCTGCATTTGCAAGTCAGTTTTTCTCTGAACAAATTAAGATGAAACAACAGATGGTGAAGCTCTTTGCACCAATTTACAAGAAACAATTTGGAAGCAGAAAATGCACAGAATGCCAGAAAGACACAGAAAACGCAGGGTGTGGAGTAAATACGCTCAGAGTGGAATGCTAACCTTCAAGCAAACAGCCTCGGTTTGTCAAACACATTTCTCTGAAGCTAGCAATGCAAGGAGTAAATCTTTTCTGTTTCCTATTGCTTGACCCCGTTATTCCTTCTTTAGTTTTGCCTTGGCACATTTATTGACACTGACCATAGAGAGGATAAATCACAGCTCTGACACACACTAAAGTAAGTTTGACCACTTCCTGTTTCCAGCCCCAATGGGCCCCTTCTGGAATGCATGTGTTCAGGACCGTCTAGCTCCTGACAGAGTTACTTTCTAAATGTTGCCAGATCACACTTCAGTGGGCAGCTCGACAGAAAGCAGAGGAAAGCAAAACATGGAACAGAACACACACAAAAAAAAGAAGAAACATTGAATATTCACATTAAGTAATACTTGATATGAAAGTTTTTGTTTTACGATTTACAAGTGGTTGATTATTCCATAAACCTGACATTTCTGACTGTTGCCATTAAAATATTTTATATGTAGCTTAAATATATTCCCACATTCTCCTTTCATATTATGAATAAGAATGTGATCCTTCATAACATAAATGATCACATTCTCCACATAATCCTGCAGTACATAGGAATTTATGATGATGAAAACTCTGTCTCCATACTGTGATGGAATTCATATTGCAAGCAGAATTTAAAGAAAGAAAACAACATGCAGTAAAACAGTGAAGACACAGGCTTGGCAATGATGGGAAGCTATTTTGCCAAAGCAACATAAAATTACACTGATAGGTCTGTTGTTGTTTCTGGTTCTCCTTCCCTCCACCCCATCACACTATTGTACATTAGCTGTACTTTTATTGGTGTACAAACATGCAGGACAGCATCACAGCTTAAATATTTTTCACTGCAGACAGGCGCCACTGTTGTACTTAAGTGGTATGGAAATTTAAAAGTGTTTACTTAATACTTACCCAGAGGTCAGTGACCATAACAACACCTGACTTAACTTTGTAGCAAAGATACATTTTTGACATATAGATTTTTTTTGTGATTTTAAGGAAACACTGGGAGTCATTGTGTAGAAATGGAGGGGGTAGCATCATTCCTTTTAAGTTTAAATAGTTTTAAAGCTACAGTGGTCATGCTAGAAATGTCATACTTGTTAAGACAAATAATACATTTAATGATAAATTCTATTATTTTTGTGGCATGTTTGCCACAAAAATAAAAGTCCACCACACTAAAATATTAAAATGCTGAAGCTTAAAAATGTCTGAAAAACTGAACAAGAAAGTTCAGTTTTGCACAGGCAAATCTTGGTTGCCTATGCAAACAGGATTTTCTTGAAAAAAAAATCTTATTGGTGAAAGTTTTTGATCAGAATAGGCTTTTCATTTTGAATTAGGCAAAAGGGCAAATCAGAAAAATGACAAATTGTTTGCATAAGGGGGTTGAAAGATATCTCCTTTGACTACAATGAAAAAGACTGCGCTCACAGACACATTTGTCACACACACACCACGAGACCTCCGCATGTAGCTGCGACGTCTAACCAAACAGTATGGCCTTTGATAGAGCGTCACACACCAGCAGACGGGCCCCTGAACAGCTACTTGCCATTATTAAACAATACAACCTCCTAGTCAGTGTAAGGAAAAGAGCATATTTTTTTGGGTGGGAGGAGAATGAAAAGGGGCAAAGAAAATGAGAAGAAAAAAAGTTACATGATTAGGGTCGTAATAATATGAACACATGGCATTTGAGAGTGCCAAGAATAATAAGGGTCTCTAAAACCAGTACATTCCTTCTAAATGAAACCCCACATTCGCCTGCCAGCCAACATACACGTTTCAACTCTATTCATCATCTACAGAGCAGATGAAGGTAGCACTCAAGGAAAAGTCTCACACTGACAGTCATTTATGGAGGTACTTCTCTGCGTTTTAGTAAACATTTGTAAAGTCAGGCCTATTTGTTTTAGGAATAAACTTTCTCCGTCAATAAGTTGAATACCATAACATATAGTTTTTGGCTGGGAAGTGCTGGGAAATGAGGAGAAAAAAGCTTTTGAGGCTTACCGACTACTTTGGGCAGTTTCTGTCGCCTCAACGGAATACGGGGAAGTTTAGTGCTGATTCGGCTGAATCGTCCGCACAAAATCCGCTTGGCTTTTTTGCTGTTGGTAGAGTTGTCTCAGTTAGCATTGAAAAGGGATGATGCCATGGAAATCTAAATGAATCATTGAAAACAGGCATTTTTAAACCTGGCACTTTGCTTCCTTGGAGGGCTCATGCACCAGCTTTTATCCATATGGCAATGTCAAATAAAACCACCCTTTGTTATCATACCCCTTTATTTTTGTAACGACTGTCTGTATGCAAGATAAATTATAAAACACAATGTTACTTTATATTTTAATCAGAATTTCCATTTATCACTCACTTGTGGTCGTCTTTGTCTTGACAGAGGCAGCAGCAGCACAGTAGAGAAAGTAGGGCAATTAGTAAAAAGGAGACCAAGGATCCAGCTGCGATCACACCCATCCGCTGGTTGGGCTCTGAAAGATAAAATGTAGTAAGTAAAGGGTGTGCCACATGTGTGCAGGAAATGCCAGTTTCAAAAAAACGACAGTCAAATTCAGTCCATTTTTATAACTTACTGTAAAACTACATTCTACCTGAGCATGGGAACTAAGTCCAAGCACTTGTATGTGTAGGATTTGTATTAATGTGATGCCTTGGTGTTGCATAATTCCTCCCCAAAGACATGTAACCACTTACCCCTTCATTGTAGATTTCCTGCAGTAACCTTCCTCCCCTCGTCCTAAACTCTCATCGTTAAATGATTTATTAGCACCCCTCCCTCTCTCAAATAAGATACACCCCAAGGATAATAAGCATTGTATTTCACAAGCATGGACAGTGCGTTGCACTTGCAAGGATAAATGAGAATTAGATGAGGAAAAGTTTCTTCAGTTAGGAGTCAACTGACTATCATAAATAATGCTAAAGTGTGGGTGTGGCAGTTTGTAATTGCTGATTTTGAAAGAGGAGTTGTGCAAGAATGACAAGGTCTTATAATATCACTGACCAGCCTGTCAACATCCATCTTTCCTGTGGCCAAAAATCGCTGCGATCGCTGTGTGCTCTAACCCAATATGCTTCATGCCTGTCTGAAAAAAAATGTCTTTCCAAATCAACACCTTTTGGGAACGCAAAAGGTGTTGATTTGGAAAGACATTCTTTTCAGATTTGTCTCAATTTCAGTTTCTCTATTTCTTTCCATCTTTCAATCCCTATTTCTTTTAGTTTTTCTTCCTTCCCTCTCTTGTCTCTACTCTAGCTGTGAAGAACAGAGCCAACAAACACAGCCATAAAAAGGACATCAACTTCAGTCTGGAAACGCAATCAAGGACCCTGAATCTCACCCCAGACCTGAAAAGATGTATTTGTTACTATGAAATGTGAATGCAGTAAATGGTTAATGCACAGAATTCATTCATGCACAGTCATTCTCGAAACATTCTGTTAGTCTGATGTCTAAAGAATACACTAATCAGCTGCTCTGACATGAACATATAAACTCAGGGTGGACCATGTCTGCCTTCTTTCAGATTTATCTGGTGATTGTGGAGACAATTAAAGTACAATGAGTTGCTACCATGTTTAAGAAACCAGTCTGAGATGATTTGTGCTTAAGAAATGGTGAAATCTCCCTCCAGAAGTAGCTATCAGAAGATATTGGTGTGCCCACATTTGCTTCACCCAGTGCAAAGTGAATTGCTATGATAGTTTGCTAAAAACTGGAAAAGGTAATGCCAGTTCCTTTGAGATCTCACAATGCTTGTCTTGTGTCATGATGTGACAGAACTTGACAAATCAGTCAAGTTGCTGTGAGCTGCACAGAAGAGAAAGAAAAGCCATATGCGGCTCGCAAGTTTCTCATTAGTAACTCCTGGTCTAACTAATGAGTCCCCCCACATTACAAATGCTTCTGATCACACCCTGATCAAGGCGATCATGTTTTAGCCAAGCTGTTTCAAAAGAAATGTTATTCAATTCAATTGAATTCAGATCAATTTATTTATACAAAGCCAATTCACAACAAATATTGTCTCAAGGAACTTTACCAAACAAAATATACAAATATTTTAAATTCAATTATACATAACTTCCAATTGATCTGAGCTATCAAACAGTACAATATGCTCAATTAATCATTCAAAGTAGATGTTTCATTTTCATTTTATGTTCACACAACTATTACTTACTGGTTAATTTCTCTTTCTTTCCAGACCATTTATTTTGAAGTTAGTCGGTACATAAAAATCTTGGTTGATCAAAAGTATTTAATATTTAGACAAACCTGTCTGGTACTGACAACCAGGTTAATTGAACTTCCTTTCTTTTCTTATTGATTCTCAAGTTTGAACATCAGCAAGTTGTCTTTACCATATTTACAAACATTAGGGTTGTAATAATATGAACGCATGGCATTTGAGAGTGCCAAATAGTGTGGCACTCTTTGCCATGTGATTGACTTATATTTTTGTTAACAAGCATACATATTCTAATGTACTTGTAGTATACTTTTTTCTCAGTTTTTTGACATGGGGATTTCTTTCAAAAGCACAATGATACCAGTGCCAAAGGCAGCACATGCATTTAATCTCAAAAGTATTGCCATAAAAAAATTTTTCTAACAGTAGCTACATCAGTGGCATAATAAAAGTTCTCCCAAAAATATTTGCCGAGTGCATTTTCTCTGACATCATTTACCCTTTCTTCTACTTCAGTAAGTCTTTAAGCTGACATTTGTAGTTTATGAAGAACAGATTTTATAACATAAACACATCTCCATTAGTTTTTATGTTTTAAGTATCTCTTAAATTGACTCCAAATGGATAGACCACTAGAGATTAAAAAAAAAAATCTCCCTGTTTTGCCAATAAAAATTCTATTTATGCTATCTATGTGGATAGAAGTTGTAACTGCAACAGAAAATTTCACTGTTGTCTAAGCATTATTGTGGATACTATTTGAATTTAAAGACTTAGATTTTAATCCAAATCTAAGGTTTTTTTTATCAATGGCAACAAAACAACAAAACTTTAACCAGGTCATTTCTGATTAAAGCTCTAATAAAAGAAGGATGCATTTAAAACAATTATTCTTACGGAGATGACAGGCACCAGACACAGGGTCACAGTTCTTGTCATTGCAGGAGCAGGTTTGGTTGCAGTTGACTCCATACTGTCCAGGCTGGCAAGTCTTATTGCAGCTTGAATGAGGAAGAGAAATGACAGCAATGCGTTACATGTGTAAAATTGAACAAGATAGAGAAAAAGGCCTGGGAGAACCCTCAAACACTAAAAGAGTCTACAAATGTAAAATAAACTCTTTTGTTCCCAAGATATATGACTGTGTTGCAAAAGTAAAATGAAAATGATCAAATCTTTTCACTATAAAGCTGCCAAGAACATAAACATGTTCTCTTTTTACACTATGCACTACCTTATAACTTACTAGATGCCATAAAAGCCTGGGTCACAAAGGCACTCTCCAGTGACAACGTGACAGATGCCATTAAAACACTGGCTGCAGTTGTTCTCACAGTTCTCGCCATATGTGCCGTTGGGGCAGCGCACCTCACACCTATCACAAATAAGAAGCATGACACCAGTTCTGTTAATTTAAATTATATTGACCAAATGGCCTATAAAATGGATCTATAAAATTAAAAATAGGTAAAGAAAATGTTTGGTGTTACCTGTCCCCAATCCATCCTGGATTACAGTGAGAACATTTGCCATGAATGGGGTCACAATGGTGACCGTCCTTACAAGCGGGACACACTTCCTGACAGTTTTCCCCAAAGAAGCCCTTGGAGCAGAGCTGATCACATCGTGTCCCATTCCAGCCTCTGTCACAGGTGATACACCGGCCCTCTGTCACTTTACAGGGTTGTTGACCCTTGCAGTGTCCACACCTGACGGCATTCAAGAAACCAGATGCAGAATTATAGTATCAAAATCTAATTTTCATCTCAATATTGAAAGTTCAAAACAGTCCTAGTCTTTAGATTCTGGATGTAATATAGTAAAGTATATTTTAGATTGTGTAATACATATAAAGAATAATGTTTTCACTTTGAAATGTTAACTGACAAAATGCTCATGTAATATGCTAATGACACTTTAAATTGTCAGCTGAAGCATTTTCTGTATTATTGTACCAAATCCTGTTTTACACCAAGTGCCATCACTCACACATATCATCTCTGCTTCTTCTGCACTAAATAAATGAAAAACACTCAAAGCAGGAAGGCAAAAAAAAATAAAAAAATACCAAAAAATAAATTGTAAAATTAGCTTTGAAAAGATTCAATTGGAATTTGACCATTAATCTCTGATAGGTGTCTAATACATTTGATTGACATAGGGAAAAGTAACATTATGTCTTTTGAAAATTGTCTATTACGATATATTCAACAAAATAGAATGTTTTTTTTTTACAGTATTTGCTCTACTGTTCTTAATTATTGGATAATGTGAAAACCAAAATAAGTATTTTTCCATTATTGTTCCTCACCATGGATTGTTACAAATCATTTTTCACGCCATAAACACACAACAATATGGATTTGAAATAGAAACCCTGTAAACTGCTTCTTGTGTTTTAAAATGGTACATTTACTTTCTGATAGACATTTTCTCCCCACCTGTTTCTGCAGTTTTGGCCATAAAATCCAGCAGGACATGGCTCCCTGCAAAACTTCCCACGGTATCCTGGAGTGCAGGTGCATGACCCGTCAGCCTTGTTGCACTTGCCATGGATGCATTGGCACACTCGATCGCACCGAGGACCCCACATCCTGTCTTTGCACTGGCAGCGTGTCGTGTACTGCTCGCACGGCGAGCCGTTACAGTTGCACTGGTTTGCACAGTTCCTCCCCGTCCATCCAGGATGGCACAGACATCGCCCCGTATTCACGTCGCAGACAGAATTTATGCTGCAGTAGCACATGTTGTGGCAGTGTGGACCCCACCACCCAGTGTGACAGGTACATTTTCCTGTGTCTTGGTCACAGTTGCCCTTTTGGCACTGACAAGCATTCTCGCAGTTGGGTCCCCAACGATTGTGGTTGCAGGTGCACTTGCCAGTCAAATCATCACACTGGCCATTAGGGTAACAGTTGCATCTTCCCTTGCAGTCAGGGCCCCAGAACTGGGCAGGGCACTCTGTTAAAGCAAAGTAAAATCAGGGAATGTGAAAACTGTTATTGCATTAGGATGTTAAGTAATGTACGTTAAATCTTTGTAGATTCACACTGAAAAGACAAATGCAAACATACAGATGTTTGCAAATGTATGTTACATAATTATGCTAAATAAACATAATTTTTTCTTCATGAACACACATAAATTATATTTTTGAACTTATATATATAAACCAGAGAGAAGGAGAGAAATACTTGATTTGTGCTCTTCAAATTGATTGATTGATCCATTCAATTAAGTGCAAGAACGCTTGTATGATTTACAACAATGATCCACTGATGATTTTACTTACAGTTTGAAGAGGTTACAATGCAATTAATTATATGAGGGCTGATTGAAAATTAGCATATTTAATACCGTTGTATTATGTATAAGCATGCTTATATTAAAGTGAACAAAGCAAAATTGCTGAAGTTTATTGGTAACACTTTCATCTGGGTATTTCCCCTGAACCTGTTTCTTCTGTTATCTGTTTAGGGTAAGAGACAGATTTTTAAAAAATTTTTTTAATCATCATTATGTGACCAGAAACACTAAGTCTCTTTTCGAAGGAGACTTGGCCAACATGAGATGATGAATGAATACTGTAAACAAGTAGTCTGCTTCTCTTTTAAATGTGATTTCTTATTGTTTTTTGTCCTGTGTTAGTTCAGTTGATTTCTTGCTCTCTTCTTTCAAAAGTTTGTATTGTTATTTTCTGTAGTAAACTACCTTAATTCATCCACTCTTTATGTTATTTATTTAATTACAAGTAACATGGCATATCAAGATTTTTTCTCTCTTTAGAACCACAAAAAATTTTCACATTGTTTCAAATTCATTGCGCGAAAGGCCTTCTGAAAAGTATTAGAGTGAGTAGTTTTTTCCATCTCAATTATTAATTTTTTCTAAGCACCATACATTTCAGAGTTTAATTTTGTGTTGTTCCTTTTTTTTATTGTATATATTACAATTTTCAATGCTTTGGGCTCAACATAAAAAGTTGCAAAGTGGCACTTATTCCAAAAATGTGTTCATACAGTTTTTTTTAGGATCCAAACGAAACAGAAAATTCAGATATCTTCCACCTAGAAAGGTGAAAAAATAAGGTCTCACTTGTGTCACAGCTGGCTCCAAAGTATCCATGTCGGCAGCGACATTCATTCGCCCTGACACACACCTCATTTTCCTTACAGGTGAAGTTGCCTTCACAGATGGCTGCAATGAAGAAGAATAGTCCAGATTATAACAGTTGCTCACACAATGAGCTGTTTGACATGTTTTGATTAATGCAAGACCTATTCCAACGTACGTGTCAGGCATTCATCTCCCAGCTGCCCCCATCCACTGCAGCAAACCAATCTTGATGACCTGGAAAAAAAACAAACTGGAAGCTATGAGACACCGAACGAGAGGGCAGAGATAGAGCACTGCACTGAAATGAAGTAAAACAAACACATATCAAAGAGGCAGCATCCACACCCAGCTCACGTCTCTTTGAACTTACAGTTTCCCACTTCTGCCAAAGTGCACAAAAGATCAAATGTAAAGCACATTTGTTGTATAATTACCCCCAATATGATTAATTATAGTCTATATAAATAAATACACTCCATCATCTATAACATCTGAGTTAGTGCAGTTTATCATGTTATCTGACTCTTCCCTGTGGGGAAGGAGCGTGAATATTCAAAGAAAACATTTTGCAGACAGTTTTAGTCTTGACAGGAAAGGACGGATGTGTCTCCTTTCCTCCCTTGCCTGTGACCTCTTTGGGCCCCTGCAACACGTCAGCTTCCTCTAATGCTTTGAAGATGGCGACTCCTCAGAACGAAAGGAGCAAAGCTGTGCTTATCCTGCCCAAACAGGCACGTGTCTAGATCTATCATCAATAGTACTTCTCAAAAGAGTGAGATAAGACAAATTATGAATATCATTTGTGGATTTTGCATTCATAGCACCAGGTTTGATTCATCCCCCACCTTCTTACATTTTAGCACTGACTTTAAATCATAATGATATAGATTCGACAAGGAGTCTGGAGCATTTCTCAGAGATTTGTATCCATTCTGACATGTTATTGTTGTGCAGTTGTAGCAGATTATTGGCTATATATCTGTGACGAGAAGTTCATGTTTCACTATTTTCCAAAGGTGTTTCATTGAATTGAAATCTTAGCTAACCGGTTGTGGATCGGTTGGTACTGGTACTAATGAGCATTGTGTGCCAAGAAAATATCCCTGCTACCATTGCATTACGTCCACCAGCCAGACCCAGTGATCCAAGACACGCTGTTTATTGTGTTTATATGAAACTCTAACACTGCCGTGTCAGTGTTGTAGCTGAAACTCATCAAACTGGCATCACTTTTCAAATTCATTCCCGCATACATTGGTTGAGCTACTGTTGCTTTGTTTAATCTCAAACCAGTCTCCCAGTTCTACTCTTGTCCCTGACAATAACAAAGCATGTTGAGTCTATTTTGTAAAGACAAGTGTGAAAATCCCAGCAGTTTCTGAAACATTGAGGCAGGAAAGGACTTATGTGGTGTGGCACCAGCTTAAGCTTCAGCAACTGGTTTTAGCCATATCTATAATCACTGAGTTTCTATAATTTATTTGGCTTAAATAATATTAGTGTTAATCACAATACTTATTGATGTTATTTTTCAAATATTATATGTGAGTCTTTACTATTCACTTGAAAGTTCTGGAAGCAACCTGGATTCACTGGTTAATTTGTGTTTGACGAATTTTTGCATGTGTGTCTGTTTATTACCATAAAACTTATAGATCATGGGCTTCCATAAGAGCTCTGTTTTTCTATTTCTGATTCAGAAATATATTGAAGTTGACAGCTTTTTTGGTTCTCAAGCATTTCAGGCAACAGCTAGATTAGAATGCAATGAGTGATCAAAGGTCACATCATGCCCAAGTTAGGCTATTATTCTCATTCCAGCTAAATTCAGCTGCTGATTTGGCAAAGTGAGATCATGGTGGATATGCTTACAATGTGCATAAATTCTTCTCAGTTCCCCCAATTCATATGATTCAGTGAGGAAGGCAAAATGACTATTTCAGGCATACTCAAAAACAAGAAATGCTCTTGCTCTATTCTTGTTTGGAGATTATTTTCATGCAAAAACTGAAAAGCAGATATGCCAAGCTTTGATGAATTGCAATCTTCAAGTATTTATTTAAATTTCTATTGTGGTTCTTTACAGTACCATGAATGATGCCAAATCTCATTTAGATCATATTAAGAGATTTAAAGATTTTTGAGGCTAAAGAGACATATGTTTGACATTTAGTATATAAAACAGGATGTTTGTCATTAGAACAATCAAGACTTTTTCTTTCCTTGATTTAAATTCCAAGTTCCATCATGACTAGCAACACACACAGAGCCTCCTGAAATCATATTATTTGTTAATCCAGTCACCCTTTGCCAAACTTGTTGGAACCCCAGGCCAGAGAGGAGAAACCTAGACCAGTTATTTTTTAAGAAATATTATGTAAACACAATTTTATGTTATGAAAGAACAACGCCAGACTACTTCCATTGTGAAGGCTTTGGAAATTAATGTGAGTGCCTTCATCCAGATAACCTATTTTTAGTGTGATCACAATAAGCTATATTTACTGCACATAAAAATTCTACATATTAAAACTGCAGTGAAAAATACAGCTCATTCTGAGACAGAATAAACACAAACTTAAATAAACCAAATAGACACAACATGACATGAGATTTTTTGAGAATAAAGAAATACTAGCAAAAGATTTGTATCTGTTTGTCGACTGTTTCTTTTTTTTTTTTTTTTTTTAGAATTCATCGACATCACTTCCACATGTTTGGAAGTTGCAGTCCGTAATTGTGGACTTGGATGCCTTCCTTTTAGATATGAAGCCAGATATGCAGAGGCTTGGCCAAAAATCTTCAAGAAATTCAGATTTGCAGGCAAACCAACCGGCATTCAACTTCTTTAGAGTTCCCTTGCTTTTTAAAAGGTAAAACTTGACTTTTATAACTAATTGGTTGCATAAAAGGTTGCCACGAAGCCAACAGAGCGCCACCTACAGATAAAAACACTCCAGATGTACATGCACATCTGCACAGCTGCCTTCTTCAATGAACTCCTCCCCCTGCGCCTGCTACAGTGAACAGAAACCGCGTTATGCACCTCAAAAAATAGGTCAACGTGGATAGCTTTAAAATAATGCTGATGATTATAAAAACAACATACAGTTTTAAGAAGTTTCATGATGTCGCAATGGCGAGAACCGATCGGAAAGTAGAACCCTCGCAAAACTTATTATAAACTTTTGTCACCTGTACAGTTTAATAACACAAAATAAGACAGCTGACCCCCATTCACGAGTTTTATGTAGCTGCTTTCATCTCTGTCTTAATTATTTAAAGCAGACTCGCAGAAGCAAAACCTGGACGTTCATGTTTATGTTTATATTTAAGTAGTTTTCAGTATGTAAAACTGAAAACTACTGACATAAAACGCATACAAGCAGTTATATCCACCCAGCATGGATTCTTACCCGGGTGCTTTGCACACATTCCTGCCTTTAACGTTGAGTTCTTGGCTGGAAACGGAGCAAAAGAAAAGACAAAGCAGCGCAGCGGCAGTAAAACAGTTCTTTACTTCCATTGTAAGAGCAGCAGCATCCTAATGTAGACGCTACTCTTACTCCACATTTCCCCTTTCTCCAACTTTTTTTTTTCTAATCGCGATGTTTCACTCTTCTTTTTTTCACCTCTGTTTCTTTCATAATCCAGATGCGATCACAGTTTATGCTTAATGAAAAAAAAACCTCTTAAAATCCTCGGAAATTAGGTGTCCCAGCACCGAAGCCGCCGAGAAATTCCGTAATCCCCAGGATAGTTTCAATAAAACAGAACAAAAGTAAAAATTTTCAAATCAGCTGGTTCTCTTGGTGCCACTTCGTTGCGTAGTTTATTCCATAATAGTTCTGCAAAATCCCGAACCGTAGCCTAACGGACTCCCGAGTCATAAAACAAGACATTCCTTAGATGAAGAAAAATCCCCATCAACTTGTCTTGAAGGGCGTTTAGATTGTTGTTAAACTTTAGAATAATAAAACAAAACAAAAACAAAAACAAACAAACAAACAAAAAAAGTCCAATGATGGCTTTGACTTCACCCTCCAGAGGAGAAGCACCTAATCCGTAACTTTCGTCCTTCTCTTGCGCTCTCAGGAGTGGCAGAAGGGAAATTCCTGATTTGTTACTCTATCTTTGGCTTTGTGCGCCATGCCTCCGCCACCAAAATTTACATAGGCCTTCATGCAACAGGGGCGCAACGTGGTCTGCTGTAATGGCCCAAGTTAAAACAAATACATAAACGTAAAATAAAATCCTTTTTAAAAGCTATGCAATATTAAACTACAATGACTGAATTCGAAGGAAATCGTATTATAATTATTATTGTTATTATTAGCATTATACTTATTATGTGTGTTATATTTCCCATAGGATCAAATGTATCAGTTTAGATTTGTCATAGTCCAAACAGACTAAAGACATAACTTAAACATGCAGCATCTGACCCGTAAAACATTATGAAAAACTTTTCCTCCAAATCATAATGCATGGAAAAAGTGTGCCTTTGTCAGGCAGTGGAAGGCGCATAGGCATTACATGTGGTGCAATAGCTCCCCCTTCAGGTCCAAAATGATGCCGGCATATGGCATCTTCAGTAACCTCTGCTGTGACTGAGAGCGTAGATTCCTGTTACCTACGCAGTCAGTGTCATACAGAAAAGCACATTTTTATATTTTGTCCCATTTCATCCACAAATTACAATGAATTTGATTAGGATTTTATTTCACAGTGTGTAACTGTAAAGTAAATAGAACATGGTAAACGGCTTTCAGTTGCGCTTTATTTTTAGAAAAACAATCTGAAAAGTGTGTCATACATGTGCTTTTAATCCCCGGAGTTTCTGCTTTTGCTGCAATTAAAACTGCAGTCCTTTTGTGTTGTGTCTCCACCACTTTTTCACACCGAGAGACAATAAACTCCATCAGTGTATTTATAAACAGTAATATTCAATGTTTCTGGAAATTCTTAAATTTAGGTCTGGACTTAGACTGGGCCTTTTTCAGACTTGGTTATACTTCAATCTAAATTCTTGCATTGTAGTCCTGACCATAAGTTTAGGGTTGTTGTCTTGCTGAAAGATGAGCATATCCTGATCTTGCAACAATCACATTTTGCAATGCAAAAAGTGTGTTTAGGGTAATATGTTGAAGTGTTTCTTCACATATGGTGTTTCATATGAAAACAAAAAAGTTTAGTCTTGATCTCTCTGAATAGACTACATTCTCCCATGTTTGCTGTTTTCCCCATATGCCATCCTAAACTGTAAACATCCCTTTTACAGTAGTTTATTTTTGCAACAGTTTAATTAATGCTAGATTTCAGGAGTGTAGAACCAAAAGATGTGCTATCAAGCTGTGGGTCTTTGCAGCTCCTCTTGTGTTACCACATCACATGTCACTTGGTTGTCTCTGATTGTTTCTGTGTCCAATCAGTTTAAGTGGACAGATGCACGGTTTCACCAATACTCAAAGGATGTAGGCCGGAATCATGAAGGGATAATTAAACTTGCATGTGATCACCACATGACATGTATTGAATTACTTACTGACCCTTCTTATATATAATGAGTGGGTGTGTATGTGCACTGATTACGATTGTATTTGTCATGTTTGTGGTTAGTAAAGGACCCAAATGCAGAGACTGACTGTAACAAAGAGAGAAGAGATTTAACAAATAATGAACGCAGAGAAAATAACTGAACACAGCAAGACATATCCAACATAAATAAACAAAATGATTGGAAAAATAAACCAAATAAAAAAAACAAAATCTATATGCACAATTGTCAGAATGGTGTAGGGGTTTCCTTTATTTTTCACTTGTTATTTTTGAGATCAGACATTTTAGGCAGCTAAAAAAATATTTTGTCTTATACCCCAATTAGGGGAATTATCAGCAACCAAAGTAAAACAAATAAAAAATTAAATGCCACCAAAATTTCAGCTTAATAGTTAAATGTGTTCAACATCAAACTTTTCAGTAATTATACCCAATACAAAATGTACTATAGGGAATTATTTCACTCTAAAGTAAAGTGGAATGGAAGTATAGGTTTGGACCAAAAGGATATGCTCAAGTTAAATTAGGACCTCAACATTCTGACAAATCAAATGCAAATGAGCAAATAAGTTTCATTGCTCTCTGCCATTATTTGAAACATATGCAAAATGTATGCTATCACTATTTTCATGAAAGTTCCTCAAAAAAACAAGAACACAAAGAGTTCTATAAAACAATACATATATTTTTAAATATCTCACAGATTTTAAATGTCAGTAATGAAGATGCTAGTCCTAGTCCATAGTACCAAAAGCTAAGTTGAAAAGAAAAGCTCTCCACTTTCCAGTATGCTAACATTCCAGGCTAAACCAATAACAATAAGAAGTGGAATAAAAGCAGATGAAAGAGCTTCCTTCATGAGAAGCCTGGCTCAGCCTTAGAGAGGGTTGAGGAGTACATTGATCAGAGGAAAATTCAGAGTAGAGGGGCTGCTCCTCCACAATACCAGGATAAGCTGAGATAAGTTACATAGAGATGGATTCCTTCTGTGAGTCGTGCAGAAAAACCTGAAGTTGTTTTTTGTCAGAGCTCACCCACTGAAAGGAGACCCTAGTATAATTCTTGAACTTCTTGGAATTTCTAAAATCTCTCTGAATAATTGCTGGGATACCTCAGAATGAGCCAGACAGTCAAAGAGAATGGATGATAAAAAAAAATGCAATTTGTGAAACGTGAAAGAAAATAAATTGACATGCAAAAAAAAAATGGAATGCATGAATTCAGATATAGTTGCATTTTGCAGTGCTGTGAAAAGGCTACTTCAGTAGAACATTTCAACAATATTAAGTAAGCAAGAGGTTTGAAGTTTGGGAGCTGGGAGCACTAGGAGAAGGCAGATTTGTTGTTTTTTTTTTACAATATGTCACGACTGATGTCACGACAAAGTGATCGTTTTTGACATAAACAAAAATATTTTATAAAAAAATACATACTGTAGCTTTAAGGTGGTGAGAAAGCTATTCAGTTATTTTGCAGAACCAGTTAAAACTGTCTATAGAACCACACCTGGTTACGTGATGAAAGTCTCTACAAGAGGAGTTCATTCATCAAATACTTTTCTGAGAAGTTGGATTAGATGCATAGTTTGTGGGTGTGGAAATCGTCACACCCTCTTTCCACCAATCAGGTGATTCCTTTGACAGACCCACGTTCTGTTTATTTACGCTGTCGCGTGCCAAGCTAAGAAGATGGTGTGCTGACTTTTGACAATTATTTCTCATCTACGTTATCGTTCCCGGATGTTTTGTCTCAAAGCCATGCCAGCCCCCGCGTGGGTAAATTCAGATACTCTCTTGAAGCGGTTATTATCCAACCGAAGGCTGCGGTCCAGCGTTACCTTCAGCTCGACGACCCGGCCGGAGAAGACGGACCATGGCAGAAACCGGAGCGGAGCACAGCGTGCCTCTGCCCGACTGCAGTCTCCTGGGAAGAGTGGGAGAGCAGGGAAAGACCGCACCAACTCTTCCTCCGCTGCTAACGAGATCTCCGTAGACTTTGAGCAAAGCCAGGAAGCTTACAGGAGCAAAGACTCATTAGAGCTACTCAGAAGTTTGGTGGTTTTCAAACTTTGTTCCTATGACTTCCTGGTGGATAAGAATGAAAAGGTAATGCAGACCAGTAGCAAACTAACAAATAGAAATTGGAATGGTACTGGTGATGTATTTTTGTGGGTTCAGAATGATTTAAATTAATACTATGATGCTGATGTTACATGTATTTTGCATGTATTTACATGCAAAATACATGTAAATACATGTATTTACATTCTTCTAACCTGGAACAACAGGTTAGGAGAATGGCGATACACTAAAAGCAAGACACACTCTGCTGGCATTACCTTGTCACTGTAGCCTAGATATGATTTATTAATCAAAGTTGATAGCCTTCACTCAGATATTTATAGCTGTAATTAGTATCTTTACCAATTTTCTAATTTGTAAACCTGAAACTGAAACGACAATACATTCCAGACTGTTGTGTTGTTCCTGACTGCTAACCATTCAAACATCCTGCAGTGGGCCTACACCCATGTCTCAAATTACAACCTGCTCTTTGCAACTTGTTGCATAATATAAGCTAGATACTATTTATATCTAGTATCTAGCTTACCAGTATCCATACAAAACCAATATTTCTGTTCACATGCACAATGTTACTTTAAATGTGGCAGATGACAAATTTGAAATAATAAATGTGTAGCTGGATTTAATCCCGTATATGTTAGGATATAAACACACTTTTCTTATTCACTAATTATTTAATGTTGTGACAAAGCTACTTTGTCTACCTAACCGATGCACATCTATCTACATTTCACACATACGAGAACTGTATTAAATCATTCTAAGGCTGATTTCATCCTCACTCTTGCTTTTCTGACTTTTACTAAGAATATCATCTTGTGCCATTTCAATTTAGGCCTGAATCATTATAAATCTTATCAGATGTGTGGAAAAAAAAAAGACCTAAATGGTTAATCAGTATAAAAGACCGACTAAATAAAATTGAGTCTGCTCAATGATAGCAAAACGTAATTTGCATTAATGTGTGTGAATGTCACAAAGTTATCTATAAAATATTAATCACTTATTGCATTTTAAACACGCCACAGATATGACGTAGTTTATGCGGCAACAGTTAATCTACTTTTATTTAAGAAATATTGTTTATAGAAAATTAGTATTAACTTTATCTGATGTTTTGGCAGCAATTACCTTATTTGCAGTTTTGTATGACTTTATGAGCTGACCTTTCTAATAGCTTCCCAAAAGATTTCCTGCTTCATAAATCAAAAATCATCCCCAAATGTGTTTCTGGCATAGAGAGCTTGAATGTGTTGTACTTGTGTAATTAGCTGATAAGTATTGAAGTTCAAGAAGTTATTTACACTGTTGACATTGGATGCTCTGATTCTCCAGTATATCAGGAGAATATATGATGGACAAAGCTTAATTTTCAGGCATTATTTGAAATCACCAATAACTAGCAGTATAATATGTATTTCAAAACCACAGTTAAAAAAATACCTCTGTCACCACAGCACTATATGTTCAATAACAGGGTCACAGTATAGCGATTGTACCTTTTAAAGTCTCTACTCATGTTAAATTAAATATACCCAATAGAAACAAACACATAGATACACACCTTAGTGTATTTTTAATGTAAATATTTGTAATATTTAAACCTCATTAAGGCCAAACTGTCAGTTCATGGTAGTTTACATTTACAATATTTAAGCATTAGGATAAAAACATACCTGTTGCATTATAGTGGTAATCTTTGTACACTTTTTTGCATGCACGTATCATGCACAATCCTGACCTTCACAATAATTTACTAATGTTTAGTTTACTTGTTTTCTTAACTATTTATTCAGCAATAGCTTGCTGCTTTTATGTTTTTACATTGTTAGGTACATTTAAAACATGGCAAGTAGTTGTTTGTCATTGGGTGCTATGAGTCGTGTAGATTCAGTACTATTGTGACACAAATGAAGAGCCACACTGTCATTGTCTGTAATACTCCAAGACTATAACGATGTTTTCTCTTTTTGCCTAGATAATGTATCTTGGTAAGACAATTCTAGGCCAGAAGGTTTTTGATCAGCTCATGAAGATGACCTTCTATGGCCAGTTTGTTGCTGGGGAGGATCACATATCCATTAAACCTCTGATCCAGAAGAACCAGGCTTTTGGTGTAGGCTCGGTCCTGGACTACAGTGTCGAGGAGGACATCAGCCAGAAGGAGGAAAACCAGAAAGAGAGGTAATACAACATTTGTTACTTTTTATTTGACATTAGAACTGATACCAGACATGAATAATAATTTCTCTGAATTTGTGTTTTAGATGTTATTTCCATCAACTTTTATCAAATATATGACAAATTACATACATTTTATAACTATTCATCTAAATTGGAAAAATTAGATGAAGAACTGTGAAAAAAATAAGATTAAGATACAAACTGGGATTTCTTTTGGCACCTATTAAGATCGGCATTATTTTGTCACTTACCTGGCATCCAGTCACATGGTCAGCACAAGGCAACAGCTATTTGATCTGCCTCCTGATGTAAACTAGGATGACAGTAAAATCCTTGTGCAACCACTGTCTCTAGACAGCCACTATGTTACTTCACTCTCAGCTCTGGGCGTTGATGCATATGTGGAATAATTAGAACATTTTCACAGTCCAAGATTAAAAATAGACAGTTCGGCCTGCTTCACAGTTAGTTGAGTCAGTTGACTGAATAAGAGGAAACATTTTGATGAGAATTTCTTAGAAGCAAAATAGAAAAAATCAACTTGTCAGATTTATTCAGTATATTGTAGTAAGTACAAAGACCCTTTATATCTTGAATGACATCTCAGATTTTTAAAAGGTCAAAAACGGTGAATGAAGTGTAAGGTTTTCAGGCAGTATAATTCTAGGTTGATGTAGAGTGACAGCTGATTTCTGTGTCAAATCGTGCCACAAATGAGTTCCTTAGTTTTTTTAATGTTTTGTCAAATGTCATTACCTTCATTTTGACCTACTTATTCTATTTTACAGTGTTAAGAAAAAGTACATGGCTCTTACAGATTTTGTTTTGATGTTTTTGTCACAGTTAAATGTTCTAGATCTGAATACAAATTAAATACAAAACCAAATGTGGGTAATTTGTTAATTCAGTTATATTTTTACATTATTTAGATTTTGCATTTTGTATTTACTATTTAATTTTGTCTGATATTAAAATTTATTTCATGACCTGAAACATTTGACAGTTGCTGATTTTTAGACCAGGGGACAAAATTACACCACCTCCATCTGATCCCCAGTGAGCCGGAAAAGCCAGACTACAAGGAAAAGAAACAAACACTGGATTAATGTTAAGCTGGAGATGCTTAGAGTCATAATAAGTATGAGTGGGTACATGTTACTTAATACTAACTAATACTAATGAATATTAGTTATTTTTTTTAAACTGATGTCTGTTCCCATTACATTAGAAAATGTCTTGTTAAAAATGAAATAATCTTTTGATGCAAGTAGTTCTTTTTCATCTGAATTAAGAAATTATTTTCTTAAACAAGCTCCTGTTTGGCTGAAAAGTTAACTGTAAGTTAGTTTTGTCTTATTTCAAGAGTACTAAAATATTTGCACTACGAACTAGACCAAAAATCCTAAGATGTTGTGCTTTCACAGTGCAAACAATTAGACATTTAGGGAATTGAGCTTAAATATCGCTTAATTTTTTATTATTTTTTAAAACATTTTTAGTTCTATATGAATTGTATTGCATTGTATTTTCAACTGTTTCTTTTTGTCAAAATGTTGCAGTGGTAAACCGACACAACTCCCATCAGCTCTCCTGAATTTATGATGAATGACTTGCTCTCTGTTAAGTCAGATTTTTGTTTACATGAACTTTGTCTGATACCTTCTGATGAGAAGGGGGAATAGGTCAAGTGAAAAGTGACGCTTCAAGGCCCCATGAGGGAGTCAGCGTTAAACATCAAGAATGTTTCAGCATATAGTGTTTAAGGTCATCAAACAATAACACTACGGCATGCCACAAGGCCAAAAATGTTCACAAAGAAATGTCAATTCGCAAAGTCTGATGCAACTCACTTTTCTAATGTTGCCCCAATCCTGAGCAAATTAACTGCCTTTTCTCAACACTTCTATTTCAGCTCAAGCGTTTCCGCTGGAGGGGAAGGGAGCATAGGTAAGCTGCCTTGTTTTGTTCTCATTTGTGTACACAGCACATGATGCAATTAGAAGAAATAGGCATGCAAATTTGTTTTCATCCCCAGGCAAGGGCTACAGAGAGAAAAACTACGAAACAGGCAGGCAATTAGGTGACAGTCAGAGGGAAGTGATTGGAACCTGCACATATTTCTATGCTGATGAGGCCAAATGTGACCAGCATATGGAGACCTTTATGAAATGTATCAAAGCATCTGGTGGGTAAACTAAATAAGTGATAAATTTTGAAAATAAAGTGGTTTTATGCATTTTATTGAAGTCATGACTTTAAATAGAACCCCAATAGTTATGCAATCCGCTTTATTTACTTATTTCTAAATTGTTACAAAGCAATTGTCTTTATATAATAATCAAACAGTTTCCTATCCATAGGTGGGAGTTCTATGAATGGGTTTTCTGCAATCAAAATGACTGCACTTGGACGACCCCAGCTTCTGGTAAGCTGTAAATGGTAATGTAAAGCTCAGTGTGACAATCTAGCTTGAGGAATAGCAGCAGGAGAGAAGAAGAATAAGATCTTTTCTTCTCTTTGTTTCGATAAGCTCCGGTTCTCAGAGGTCCTCGTGAAATGGCAGCAATTTTTCACATTCCTGGCATCACAGCAGGATGGCATGGAGGCCTTGGAGCAGAGGCTGGAGCTGACACAGCTGCAGGTAGTTTTTTTTTTCTTCTTCTTTGAGTTCAGAGATCTTTTAATTCAATCTCATATGGGTAAATTTATCTTTCACAAACACTGCATAGACAGCAACAGGATATTCCTACATGTTGTAATGCAGGAGCTTATTTGTTAACCTTATACTACATGCCCAAAATAATGGGACTTGAAAGAAGCTCGGAAGTGGAGCCTGCACCAGTGTACAGATTGACTCGTGTTTGAACATTAAGGACATTGAGAAAATTTGCAATTCTAACAGTGAAGAGATAAGCTGGCAAACTGATGTGTAGTTTATTTACATGTTAAAGTTGGTCTTTGCTTTTCTTGTAGAGTATGCAGGTCCTCTTTACAATCAATAGCCACCATCAGCATGTGAATGTGTGCATGAATAGGTGAAGCAGTGGATATACTGTGAAGCACCTTGGGGAATTTGTGAAGCACTATACAAGTACAGACTATTGCTATAATCTAAAGACCAATATTAGATTCTTGCTCACCCGAGGGAGATGCTGTTTACATTGGAATTTTTTGTTAGGATATAAAAACATACGACAATGAGTTAGACAGTAAGAAAATACAAATAAAACAGGACATGTAACAATAAGATAAACTAACGTACAATAAATCAAACTAAGGTAAGATAAATTAGGCTAAGCTATGATCAGTTAAAAATCTGAAAATTTGATTAGATAATAAGAGAAGTTAAATTGTTTTAAAATCAATTGCACTGAACTAGGACAGACAATAAGCTACAATAACTTTATCCTACTCAAAGTAAACCAAGTAAAGGTAAGAAAAGGTAAAGTAAATTAAGATAGAAGGGAAGCTTAGTTAAACCAAAGTAAGTTAAAAAGGCAGTCAAGTTTTAATCTTATCTGAATTGTGATAAGCTAAACTAAGGCAACCTGACATAAACTATGTTAAGATAATATAAGCTAAAGTAAGATAAATTATCTTAAACCAAGATAAATGGTAGAAATAAGGCAAAAGGAACAGTTACTTTTCCAAACAATAAGTCAGACTTAGCAAAGTTAAGGTCAGCTGAATAAAGCTGATCTAAGTTAAGCCAAAGCTTGAGCTTCATAAAGCTGAGTTAGGCATTTTATTGATTCTTATCTGGTAAAATCTTACTGCCAACACAGCGACAAAAAGCAGAAGCAGTCAAAGCATAGCATGCATATTGTCTTTGAGTTCTGTTTAATCAATTAAGCTAAAGTGAATAAGTGAGTTGTGTTAGTTGTTGAACATACATCTGTACAAGATATTACCATCTAGGGTTCTGCAAATTTATGTATCATTTATTTACCCTTTAGACTTTTTCACAAATAAATACTCCTATTAGCTACTGCCAGAAAACAACATGAATACAAGAATCATAATTTAATAGCTTTTGACATTTGGCAAATACTTGCCTGTTAGCACCTGAAATAAATTTTTTGGCCTTCCTCTCAGCTTCTCTGCAGTCAGAAATTTGCAGGCACATTATTTCTCATTAGCATTCTAGAGCCGCTTTGCATTGATCATTAATTGGATATAAAGCCTAATCCAAGTGTGCTCAATTCCACAAGCACTGTGATTTATAAGGGAGGATGTGCATGTTTATTACATCTGCTTATTATGTCCTTCTGATGCTCAGCACATTTATGGATTTTGCAGAATCACAATTTTATTAAGTATCCTGCACACAGATTTATTGAGAAGGCCCTAGAAATGTAGCTGTTTTTGTGATTACAGGAATTGATGATCAAACTGGGTGCGGAAAGTGACTTCCTTGGCTGGTTTACTAGAAAGAAAGGAGAATCAGCAGGGTAGGCACAAACACAATACCACATTTCCACTGTATACAATCAACTTTGTCTTTCTATGAGGTGTGTTTTGTTAGATTATTGACATTAATGAGAAATTATACACAATGTTTGCGTCACATTGTTGCAAACTTTTATCATAATTTAGTGCAATGGTGTAATATTTTTCCACTTTTATTGCCAACAGATGCATTGACATCCTTGATTGGAGCAGTCTAATAGATGACCGAGTGAACACATCAGGCTTGCTTTTAGTTCCAAATGTAAAGGTGAGAAGAGCATAAATCTTTGAAACATATCACAATTCAAATACAATTTTATGCATTAGACTTAGGGTCGAATTAATTTTTCTATTGGAAACTTGATAAGTATAAGTTACAGTTAAAATGTTTGTTTTTATTAGCACCTGATGGATAATTTTAGGCCTCTTGCTACAATATGTAAAATTAAAGCATTACATAAAAAGTGACAGGATGAAAATAATTTACTGGAAGATTTATTTATTTACTTTATCAAAATGAAGCTTTTATATTTTCATATTTATAGAACTCCTAGAATTTGAAAATACATTGAAATTGTTTAAATGTATGAGAGCGCACAATTGAAAGCTTCCTGCAGGTAAATATAGAACTACCACTGTGTTCTAGCAGTAGCTCTATGTATACCTGAGTCACATAGAGCTCAGGTATACATAGAGGTAAGGTAAGGTAAAAAGTACCTTATCTTACCGTTTAGATATGTTTTGGTCTGTAGTTTAATCTGTGCTTGTTGTTTTTATAGCTGGATAAACTGGAGCCTCTGCTGAAAAATTTCACCACAGAGGAGGAAAATCAGCTAAAGAGGACATTGGAGCGACTTGATGTATTAGCCAAGGTAATCAGAAATCATGTTGAAGCTTTCAATGTTTATTATAGTTTACATCTTTGACCAATATCAATGTTTAGAACTTTTTTGTGCCTTTTCTTACAATGTTTCTGCATGTAATACCTATATTGTGCACATGTTACTGTATGGACAAATCGATACACATTAGTTAAGCAGCTCTGAAAACAACTTACTTTAGTTATTTAGTTATATTCACTGTTAAAGCTGTCGATATTTGGAGTAAATTCATAGCATTTTTTTTTTGTCTTTGTAATAACAAAATATGGACTGAGTCAAGAAAGGTATGGAGAAATGTGCATTACCCATTATATTTAACAGTCAAAATGTTAAATATGAATAATTCTAAAAAAAAAAATACTAAAAATTGATTGGTACATCATTAAATAATTTTAATTCAAAATATAATTTCACAGTGTGCCTTAAAAAACGGTGTTCGCTTAATGGTGGATGCAGAGCAAACCTATTTCCAGCCAGCCATCAGTAAACTCACTCTGGATTCACAGAAGATCTACAACAGAGAGAAGCCTGTTGTTTTCAACACTTACCAGTGCTACCTAAAGGTTAGAACCAACAAAACCAAACAATTAAACTTATAAATTACCTGAGAATTGTAGCAATGCAATAACTTTGAAGAATGATATGTTTAAACAGCTAAAATATTGGATGTAGAGCTCTCGAGGTAAAGACGAATGAGAACATAAATAAAATCTCACTTGCTCTTCTCTTTTTATTTTGCAGGAAGCATTCAAAAATGTAACTATGGATGTAGAACTGTCTAGAAGGGAGGGTTGGTGTTTTGCCGCTAAGCTGGTACGTGGCGCATACATGTATCAGGAACGAGAGAGAGCGAAGGAGTTTCGATACGAAGACCCTATAAACCCCAACTATGAGTCTACTAGCACAATGTACCACAGGTCTGAACAATGGCTTGTTTCTTCATTTATTACAATCTGTCTAAATCTGATACTTTGTAAATAAATTTGTTATATCAAAACTAAGTTCACATTTTCTATTTCCATAAAAAGCGAGCTGACTATATGTGTTGCTTAATGTTGCCAACCCCCAATTTAAAATCCCAAATATTTACTTAGAGAGCCTGGATGCGATATATGACAAGCTATTATATTTTTAGTGCATTGCATTTAAACTCTGCTTTCGAGTCAGATACAGCAATTGCCCATTCTTTTGTGCCCACACCTGGTCTAGATGTTAGTGGATAACATGCAGAGTCTCAAGTAATCGGTAGGGCCTTGTGATGATAGAAAAAAAAAAACTAGGAGAGTGAGGAAAAAGTAGCTTAATTTTAATGAATATTGAACTTATAATAAAAGAGAAAACTAATACAATGTCAATTTTTTCTTGTATTGAGCAACCCTAATTGTGACCATATCTATGTTGTTTAAAGAAAATTTTACAACCAACCAGTTTATTTTTATATGTTCTTTGGAAAGGTGTTTGCACTATTTGCTGGACGAGATTGCTCTTAACAGAAAGGCCAATGTTATGGTTGCCTCTCATAATGAGGACACAGTAAAATACACCCTGAAAAGGTAAGATTAGATTTCTCACCAATGCACTGTGTAAAGTAATAAAAAAAAAAAAAAAAAACATTTCTCTCGACCACGTGTCTCAGAAACTGAACTAATGTTATTTGTTTGTCTCAATCATTCAGAATGAATGAGCTCGGTCTCTTACCAACAGAGAACAAGGTGTTCTTCGGTCAACTACTGGGCATGTGTGATCAGATCAGCTTCCCACTGGGTGAGGAAAACACACAAAGCACCTTGCCCACTCTCCTCCACAGTCACACAGGGACAAGGCAACAATCCTTCCTGTCTTACGTAGCAATGATTTGAGAGTTTCAGTCCAATCTCTGCAGGATGTGCATTATCTGTCCTCCCCCCTGTAGCTCTCAGCTGCGTCCCACGAGGCCTTCAAGCTGCACTCAGGAACCTCACAGGTTACACGGACAAACATTTCACATGTCAAAGCCAGCCTCCAGCCTGCAAGGTGACATATGAACTGTGACAACTCAGTATTGACCACCTGTCTTAACGAAGCATCACTGTTGCTTCTCACCACTTTCATTTGTCAGTCAAAGACAGAGACACTGGTGAAAGACAGCTGTCTGTCAACATGGGGCTCAGGATGAAATGGGCTGAACTGTTATGGAAGTAAACAGAGATACCCCAATTTTTTTTGTTGCGTTCTGAAGAGAGAAAGAGATGGCACAGTCATACTGGAATCACTGCCTTCCAAAACTATATTAGAGATGAGCTGAGATTGTTATTGTCAGTCACTTAGAAAGTCAAAATTTATGTATTTCTGTGATATTGTCTTTTGGGAAACTGTTAGCCAGGAGGCTTTTGTCGAAACTTTGTTTTTGCAACATGTTCAGTTTGATGGATGATTTTGGGTAAAACATTTGTCTGAAAGGTAAACACCAAGAAAATTATAGTTGTTATGCTCAGCAGATAACCTGACAACTTCAAAGTCACTGCAGCTGAGCAATAACAAGAGTCCATCTGCAAAATGTATTTTTGGGTCAATCTAGCATAACATGTAAAACTCTTGTACTGTGGAAATAGCCATGGGCTATGAGATTCTTATGATTTAATAACCTAAAGCAAAAATACAATTCTTATAAATATTGACTGACAAAACCTTAATTTGAGGAATATTTTCTAAAATTGACTTTTCATCTGCAAAAACTGTTGCTTTGCTTTTCTTCCCAGTTTAGCTGGCCAGTTAGATTTTGTGATTTAGTCAAAATTGACTCATAATTAATTCATAGAGTTGCTATGTAAAAATAATACAAATAATAAGATAGATTCTCAAAATGATTTTTTAAAATGTTGTCTTTCATTCTATTATAGTGGATGTTTTATGGCAAACTGACCAATTATCTCGCTTACTCAGAAAATTGTTTATTTTTTGTCTTCTCTTTTTCTTTCTTTGTGAGATTAAAGTGACTTTAGAACCGATTATTTTTTTAACTCTTAGGTTTTTTCTTTATTCTTTGTGAGCAAACATTGATTGATTAGCTTTCAAAAACAATGGTTCTCCTTGAGACTAGTAATAAGGTCTACAAGGTAAAGTATTACAAAAAAATATCTTTTAATGGTAGAATACCTTGTTTTGTTTGTCTTATCTCAGCCCAAGCAGGTTTTCCTGTCTATAAGTACGTCCCCTATGGGCCAGTGAGTGAGGTGATGCCCTACTTGTCCCGACGGGCACAGGAGAACCGAGGCTTCATGAAGGGTGCCCAAAAAGAGAGAGAGCTGCTGTGGAAGGAGTTGAAACGTCGACTTGTCTCTGGGGAACTTCTCTACAGACCACTGTACTGAAAACACAGAAGCAGAAACCGAGAGGAGAGTTTGTCAGCTCCTTGAGGGATTTTTTTTTAGCAGCAGCCGCTATCAAACTTTCTCTCTAGCTTGATGGCTACTGCTGCAGCTGTCTGCTCCAACTCTCTCCCTGTGCATGTCCTGTTTTATCATGTTCTGTGGTTTTTTTCTTTTTTTGCAGATGAACTGCATGGAGCTTTATTATTTTCACCCACCTTCAACCCATCGAAGTCCTACTACAGATCCCTATTTCTTTTTTTATCTGCCACCACAACTAACAGCATTCCTCATTTTTGTCATTGTGCTATCTGTAGAGCTCTGGTATCCATCAAGTGGGCATCTTTACTGCTCCAAAAGGACTCTCTAAAATGTCAACAACACTAGGGTGGTCATCCTTCGTTATTGCTCCATTTATCTTGGAGAGGATAGATAATAATAAAAATAACAGACTGGATTTAAATTGCAGCAAAGGACACATTCTATATTTGAAGTGGTTTTTCGTTTAATTTTTTATCTACTCTATTCCAGCCACGCACTGCTGCTGAAGGCATACTTGTATTGTATCTTTGTGTCTGAAGGTGTCGCGAGTTTGAAAACAAGGCTTCTTCCTAAATTGTTGCGAAACCTTGAACCTTATTACATCCCTCATCTCTTTATAATTTGCAATTAAAAAATGTCAAATCTTCTATTTTTGTGCTTGCTGGATTGTATGTGTGAGGTGTAAAAAAATATATATTGGTTAACCTTTTATACTAGAACCTACAAACCTGCGTTTTTTTTATTTTCACACAGAGTTGCATTTTCCTCATCATTGGATTTTGGTAAATTACACTGATATAAATATATTGAAAGGAAGTTTTTTTTTTTGTTTGTTTTTCTGACATAACTTTAACAATCCAAAAGAGTTCAAAAAACAAATAGTGTCTTACAAAAATTTACAACCCTGGAACTGTTACATTGTGTCACCTTACAAACACAAATTCCATTGGATTTGATTTAAAACAGTTGTCATTACCACATTATTGTGAAGTAGAAGGGAAAAGCATATGTAGTTTTCAATCTTTTTGTGCATTTATATTAAGTTCCTTAGAATCAATACTTTGTACACTCATCTTTCACTGCTGTTTCAATTGTAATTAATTTGGCTTTCATCTCTACCAATGTTTGTAGATATGAAGACTCCAAATTTTTGTTAATTTTTCTTTGATAAATGTTTGCATTGTATATAGATGGTATATGAACAACAATATTTGAAGTGCACTCAAGAGGATGTAGGTCATAAATATGCTTTGATGTTGCTGTATGTCCTGAGCCATCTTACTTATGGAAACTCTCCCTTAATCTTCGGTCTTTTGCAGCCTGGAACATGTTTATTTCCAGAACATACCTACATTCATTTCCATCGTGTGACCTACTCTCCCATCTCTGCTGAAGAAAACCATTCCCACAGCATAATATTCTAGCTTTCCAATTTCACTGAGCATTTCACTTGTAGGGCAAAATGTTCAGATTTGGTCTGAACTGATCAAAGCAACTTCTTCCACATATTCAGCATATAGCTTTACTTTCAACCGATTCCCCAACCTGTACTGTGTTTCAATGAAGCTTCTCCAAAGTTGTTCAGGTGGACAGTCATGACTTGTGGGCTGTATAGTTAAGACATTTTAAGACATTGAATGTATCTTAATAAATGTAAGAGTTTGTATAACCTTGCAGAAACCTTTTGAAGGTTGGACTGGATTTTATTTATGGCTATTAGAATAAAGAGACTGGAACACAAATACTTTTCAGATTATTTTGTCTTTTTTTCTTTCCTCTTCACAGACATACATTTCAAATGCACATGGCATCTTGTGGTTGTAATGTGATACAAGAGGAAACGTTCAGAGTATGCAAGGCAGTGTAAAACACTAAAGGAGTAATAAAGCATTTTCACATTTTCTTTTTACAAAATTAGTACAGTAAATGGTAATTTTAACACTTTAAAGTTTCACCAGGAAATACGTTTTCCTCAGTTATTGATACACAGTTCATATTTATGCCAGGGGGAAACTAAGCTTCTTAGTAATTATGGTCTTGTCATTTTGTGCGAGGAGTCGGTGCTCTGTAGACCATCATCATTTAATTACCCCTGATACTTCAGTCAGTGCAGATCACAGAAATTGGATGCATTAATCATTACTCAAAAGAAATGTTAGGGGCTGGTGAGCTTTACTGCGGCAGAGCACCGCAGAGCTGTCACAGTTGCTTCATTCTATTGGTTTAATTAAGAATCAAGATGCCTTTGATTTCAGGAACACCTTCTGGGTATACATTTGCCAACAGAATCCCTTTTCACTGGTTGCCTGGAAGATTTTGGGTTTGCTTCACAGATTACAAATTGAAGAATTTTGCACAGCTTCCAAATTAGCTAAAACTATCATCCACTTAGCATATTATTAACCAAGACAGCATTGAAGAACACACTCAGACATATATTTGCCAATGCTAAGTCAGCATAGGCAAATATGACTGATATGCTGCTGACTTTTCTTGGTGTTATTGTTCAGATGTGCCTTTGTTATTTTACAGGGTGGAAGTTTGGTGTTTTCCAAAGCACTGCTCATCTACATAAAAAAAGCATTTTCAGGAAAACATCTCAACCTTTTTCTTTTTTTTTTTTTAAATAGATGGATTGGCTCGTTGCTGCATCCCAGCTGCAGTTTGAGCCATAATCAGGGATTGTGTGCCAGTACATGAACTGACAGTAACAAATATAGTAGCTTTGAGCCGCTGTGGAGTATCATGTATTTTTATCTGTTGACAGCGAACTGAGAGATTACAGGAAACCATCCGCATTCGGTTTAAAAGCCGCAATCATATCCACAGTGGGGGAATAATGCTAAAGCTTTATTTCTCTCCATGAGATCGGAGGGGGAGTTATCAAAAATAATTTTGAAAAATACAATTGAAGGCTGATGCATTATGCTTTCTGAATGCAGGGGAAGAGTTTTCAGTCCTCACCCCACTGGATTTTATATCAGTAGAACCGCTTTTTTATTACTATAAACATCATTTTAGGTTGAACTATAAATTATATAAACTGCTGTAGAAGTATTGCCTCATCCCTAACCACAAGCTGATTGGCCTTTTGATTACGACCTTACTAGAACTACAGAAAAACCCAGTTGGTTGCTTAATCAATCACCTGTAGTATTCCTATAGTTCTCCTCCATAATTCAACAAAATACACTTTTCATTGGCATTAAAGGCAAATATCAGAATTATATGAATAGACAGCACACTCTGTTTCCTGACATTGCACCATAATCATAAAATTATTTGTACATGGTCAGCCAGAATCCTGAGGGCAGTCTAGTGCAGATCTGTCAAAGTGCTACATGACACATTGTCAATATTTAACAGCAACATCTGACACTAGCATGACTCAAATGTCAAGCCAGGAGGAAGAGTTGTTAACATTCAGCAAGGCAGTGACATTTCTCCATAAAATAATTGGCAACACATAAGAAGGTGTACCCAAAATCCAGTGTGATTACAGAAGAACAGGTAAACAAAGCTGACAATTGGCTGGTACCCACTAATTATTGGCTATATACACCTGTCAGTTGTTCTTCAATAAATGTAACATTTGAAATAATAAAAAAATAACTTTGAAGAAGACCAGGTAAACAACTATAACCCTAACAAAACAAACCACACATGCACTCTGACTTTAAAATATTTTTTGCTAAAGATTCTGTTATATTTTGTTTGTGATTTTCTATTGATGTTCATGAATCAAACAATAAAAATTAAGTAATAAGAAAACTTGTTGAACTTGAACAAAACTGAAATGAATTACTTGGTAATTTCTGCAACAATTTAGGAATGACTTAAATAAAGCATCAGGACATATGTGCAGTACAGATGGTCCTCCTAAATGCCCTATATTTCAAAAACCAGTAATAACCTTGCTTGGCTGCTGATCCACTTATGTACAGCATAGTATCAGATACACAGAAATGGCAAAACTTGAACCTTTTAAACTAGCAAAATTTCTGCTGGATTATAATCCTGTTGAATACTACAAATATTATTTAGTTCTGATGGAAAAATTATCTATTTTTTATGTCACCTCCCTTGCTGTGATATGTCAATCTCAGTTTTTTTTAACCAGGATTTTTCTATGAAGCTCTTACAAGTAAAAGAAGAAAACTGGACATTAGTATTTACATTGTGATTGGCTGATTGGTACGGTTTGTGTGTGTAATGTTATTTGTTGTGTAGAACAAAAACACAAATAATTAATTTTATCATGTGGTAATTCAGGATTTAACACAGTTTCTTTTTTTTTAACTTAATTAAACCTCTGAATTTCAGGAGAGTAACAACTGAAGTGATGAGCTTTCTCTGCGCTCCTTATCTGCATCATGTCATCTTTTCCTACATCATCACCAAGAGTGGAGGAGATGAGAGGGAGGCTTGTTTTAGATCAAACCTTTCAAGCTTTGACCATGTATTTAGCTATTTATTTGTCTAATCACAGGCAACCTGTGTGTGATCATGCAAAACGTCTTTGATTCATCTTTCAGTGATATAGCAATGTTTTTTGTTTTTTTTAGCTTATGAATTTCTTTACACATTTTTACATTTAAATTGGAGAGGTGTGAAAAGATAAAGCATGGCATGGTGTTGTTGGATAGTGGTAACATTATTATTGGGTCATTCCAGTCTGGGCATCAGTGCATAAAATAATAGTTCATCCAAAATGAAAAAGTACTTTCAAAAAGTGCAGCTCAAATTTAAGTTCATAAAGAGAAGACGTACATGATATTTTATCTAGTGTGCATAAAGAAATAAGAAAATGAGATAGAGCAGCACCCCTGGCTCTGTGGTAATCAGTTTTCAATCCCTTACAGTGGTGAAGAACTACTATGGAAAGAGAAATTGAAAAATTACAAAATGTTCTGCTCTGGGTCTAAATAGCCCCATAGCTCCCTGCTCAGTATTACTTTCCTTCAAACAATTTTTCATTTTTTACTGAGAGTTTAACTTCACAATATTAAAGTATTTGTTAAAGTGCTTCTTGGATCTACAAATCCACTTCCGAATAATGCTACACATCTTAGTTTGAAAGAAGTCAAAATGCTCCAATGGTAGTCTCAGTCAGACCATCTCCCTACTAAGTTCAGACTTTGTTTAAAAAGTTGTCCCGCAGCAGTGTATGAGTGTAAATAATAATGCAGGTGGGACATTTGGACAGAACATAAATTTGATGTTTTGAGAAAGGCGATACATAAAATGAGCAGATGCTATGTCCTGATGTAGGTCACATAAATTCCAATAAAAATATTTTTATACCTGATCAAATTTAAGCGTACAAGCAACACACACAGTTAGTTGCCTTAATCACCTGTCAACAGTTCGAGAGAATGTTGACTCTTTTCTAGAGCTGTGTGTAGTAGTAACTGTACTGTGTTGTAGACTCTACCATCAGCTTTAGCTTTCTCCTGCCCTTATTTCCAAGATGACAGATGTCAAACACAGAGAATGGTTTTGGTCAGAGAGGAGAAATTTGTCTACTCCACCTTCATTTCCTTCCACAAAGTTCACGTTTCCTGTACTGATGGCATTTTCTCGCCATTCTTTTCCATGATGCTAGTAGCTACACATCTCTTCCATGATGAATTTTTTTATACAGACATAGAAAGTGATAAGCATAAAGGCAAGAACGTAAATCACATCTCATTATTGGCGGGGACTATAAACAGGAAAATTTCTTAAGACCAATTTTTGGGGGGGTCGACAAAGGTACAGTGAAATGTAAAGTAAAATGTGATTTAAAAAGCTTTTAAACCACATTCAAGTTACAGGACCAAAAATGACTAGTAATGCACATCAAATGTGTTTTTCTAAGTAAGCAAACTGTTGAGATGTAAAACTAAAATTCAAATGTTGCTTATATACAAGTTTTGTTCAGACTGACGATCTAATCTCTGCTACACCTTTACAAAAATGTAAGGTTCTAAATAAAAAAGCTTTAATAGGTAACTGCTCTTAATGAAATTCCTCATGAACATTGATTTATTGTAATGGCTCCCAATACAAGTTATGGGCTATTTAAATTATAACTTAAGTTGCTTTATTTTTAAACCTCTTTTTAGTTTTGCCATGTCCTGTGTGACAAGGAACCAACAGGTAGATAGAAATCAATATCTGCGGAGCATCATAACTTAAATGTGACATTTAAATAGGAAAATATTCAGATTTTATTTTGTGCTTTTAAAGGCTCTCCATTGAAGATTGTGAGAAATAAAGGTATAGGTTTCTGTTTTTTTCTGTCAGTTCTCTCTTCTGTTCTCGGCTCCTACACTCTTACCCGGGTCCGTTTGCTCAGCCTCTCCCTCCTGTTTCAAACTCTTCAAATTAACTAAAAGTTAAAGAACTAAGTATGAAGGAGATCTTTGCTACCTTTGACAAAAAAGCTTAGTCTATGAAAAGTGTAGTTTTGCTAATGAGGCAGCTGGGATTTACGCCTCTGCTTAAAGGTAGTACTGCAGGAATATAGCATCCAACAGTTCTTCCTGTTTCAGAGGGGAAATCAAATGACTTTCTCATGCAATAAATCTACATTGTTTGGAAAAACAATGTATCAGTTGCCTAATTTGTCATGTTTCACACTTTAGATTTAAATGATAATAGTTGACTTCAATTCACAAATGCAGAGGGTAAAACAGTAGTGCACTAAATCACATCTGATTTCTAGGTTTTTTGTTTTACTTAGGATT